ATATATATATATATATATATATATATATATATATATATAATAACTAAAATATACTACTACTTACTACTTGTACTGTTATTCCTACTTTGCTGTTTTTCACTTATCACGGGGCTTCAGGATACAGATCCCTTGCGATAAACGAGGAACTACTGTATATACACTATATTTTTTTCTTTTCAAGTTTGTTGATGACAAATATTCTTCCTAATCCTCTTAAACAGTAGAACTGTTCAAACTATAAGCGTGTGGCATGGTACCTAGAAAATTTGGCATTTCACCCACGTTTTTTTTTTAAGTTGACTGTCCAGCCTCTTTAATTACTTTAATTGATTAATCAAAAAATTCTACTTGAAAATTGTTATGTTCAACTTTATAGGCCACCGTATAACCATTTTTAACACAAACTTTTATCCCCAACATTAACACACACACACACACACACTGTGTGCTGTAGAGCCCCATGTTGCATGTTGGCATTTGTGTTTTGTATTTAGGGCTGCCAGGAACCAGCAGCCCCTCTGGCATGACTGGCACTGCACAGAGAAACATGGGCTGCATCTCCCACAAAGCAAAGCTCGACATTTATCTCGCCTGCTGAGCTTTAGCGCAACGATTTCGAAGCGCATCTTAAACAATTTGCTTCTATACGTCACAAGAACCTTTTTGTTTCCTGCCAAAGAGATGAAACGCTATGGAAGAAGTGTGTGAGTCAGTGTGCCAAAGCTTGTTCAGATTGAATGTATGACAGGTCTGAAATGCTTTGCGTGAACTTTCAGATGAATCAGCTTATTTTCTTTCTTTTTTTAATTTTATTTTTAGGGAAAGTGTTTTGAACAATTACGCCTAGAAAGCTGAATCTCAGCCGTCAGCATTTCTCTAAATTCACATCGTGGAACAGGAGCAAAGTTGCACTTTTACATGATAAGATGAATGATAAGTACAATAACTGCAGTAGTAATTAAATCAATTTATGTTATGATGCTAAAGCGCACAGATAAACGTATACCTCGTATACTGTATATTAGGATTTTATCTGAATGGCTTACGTTTGAAATACTTTATTTAGAAATAACTCATGAATTTACAGGGAAAACAATCCTTTTTACTTTATGCCTAGACTGTTGTTGTTTTTTTTTTTAGATTTGAGTTATGTGCAAGTACAGTAAGCAGACTAAACACTTTTTAAAATGTTTTATTATTGACTGTATTGTGCAAGTGGGTGAGTGGTGGCGCAGAGGTTAGAGAAGGTGGGCCTGTGATTGCAAGGTAACCGGTTCAACTCCCTGGACTGACAACATCAGAATGTGGGTGAGAATGGTGAAGCACCCACACCTGCCTCCATCCTCATTTGCCCCACTCTGGGTCCTTGAGCAAGGCCCTTATTCTCCAAGTACTTGCAGGACTTGGGGTCCAAGTACTTGCAGGACTTCAAGTACTTGGGGTCCACTGTCCAGGAAGATGTGGAGTGTAGTAAAGAGGTGGAAAAAGAGAGTTCTGGCAGGATGGAGCAGATGGAGAAAAGTTTCAGGAGGGATTTGCAACAAAAGAGTGTCAGCAAAGGTCAAAGGAAAAGTTTACTAGACAGTGGTGAGACCAGCTATGTTGTTTGGTCTGGAGACAGAGACATTGACAAAAAGACCAGAGAAAGAACTGGAAGTGGCAGAAATGAAGACGTTGAGGTTCTCCTTAGGAGAGACAAGGATGGATAATATTAGGAATGAGGTCATCAGAGGTACAGCACAGGTTGAAGGACTGGGAGATAGAGACCAGACTGAAATGGTTTGGACATGTCCAGAGGAAGGACAGTGGGTATACTGGTAGAAGGATGTTAGAAATGAAGCTGCCAGGAAAAAGACAAAGAGGAGATATATGGATGCAGTTAGAGAGGACATGGAGGTAGTTGCAGTGAGGACAGAGGATGGAGAGGACAGAGAGAGATGGAGGAGGATGACTCGCTGTGGAGACCCCTGAAGAGGGACAAGCCAAAAGAAGAAGAAGAAACTAAACAATCTGTGTTGTTAGAAAGTCTTATGTTCAGTTTAAGCAAACAGAGTTTTTTTTAACATCTTAATAAAATAAAAATCTATTGTTTTTTTTTAGCCTGACAAACAAAATGAAAAGGGCATTAGCATAGCATAGCCATCAGCACAGCCCTGAGGAAGACTTGCCCTTCTCTTCGTGATCTGTGTTCTGTGACTGATGTCACCACTCATACGACACGAACGATTGATAACTATTTGACAGAGCATCACTTTAAACTGTTGTCTGACTTGCTGATGAAAAAAATAATTCCAGAGTTGAAATTCAAATTTGTTTTTAATCAAATACAAAAATTAAAATTTTGGGAAAATTCACACAAATCTGCAACTTGGCTGTAAAGCACAATTGTTTTTATAAAGTTTTTTATTTTCACTATTTATTTACAAATTGTTATTTTATGTCATTGTCTTTTAATGAATTACATCTTTTTCAGAGTGTACTTATGACTTATTTATACATTTAGGTGGACTCCATGTCATTTAGATTTTTTGAATTTCACATTTTAAGGGTATTTTGCTGTTCTGCAGACTACTGCAGGTTGACCTTGGATGTGACTTTCAGTAGCAGTTTATAAAGTTGCATCATGCCCAAAGATAAAAAGCAGTACTTAAAATAATACAGATAATTAGTATTTTACTGATGAGCCTGTATCAGTTTCTGGTGACATATTCTTAAATGTGCCTTGGACATGGTGACAACTGACAAACCATTTTTTGTTTCATCTGATTTTCTTTCTTTCTGTCTTTTTTTTAACATACATCACAAACATAAAACATATTTAAGTGTCTGTCAGCTTGAAATGGATTTTCAATTTAAAAATGCAATTGAACTCAAGTTTGAAGAAAGCTCTTTTTGCTCATTTCTGAATAGGCAAATTTGCATAATTGTCCCTTAATGCCCGAATTGGCATCTGTAAATTTTAATTTGATAATAAATCTCCTCCACGGGGGTAGCAGGATGGATTTGGATTACAGTCTTGGATCTCATTAGTGTTATTTGACAAAGGTCTTTTTCATAACACTAAGATGTCATCAGCTGAAATCTGAATAAAATTAATCCGTTTTCATAGTGGGGCGCTGGTCTGAAACCCTGCTTTTAATTATGCTCTCGCTTTCAGCTCTCATCTTTTCTCCTTCATCAAGATTCTCTAATCTCCTATACACACTTCACCACAGCTCTCAGATTGCAGACGGTTTTTTCCCCTCGTGTTGTCAGACATTTGTCCTTTTAGTCTGAATCTTTAGATTTCTTCGTCTATACTGATATAAAGTTAATGCTGCTTTCATTTGAGAAACGTAACCCTTAAAGTGTTAATGGTTTGTGATCATCCAACATGTTTGGATTATGTCACTTTGTTTGCTTTTATCTCTCGTGTGTTCAGGATGATGTATTTGTGTGGCTCAGCTTGTATTTCATACCACCCTCCTTTCATTTATTGCATATTGTTTGTGCAAAACGCAAAGTGAGACCTCCCCTCTGATGTTTGTGTTTTTTGTGTGTTTTAGGAATCAAGAATAAACTGCATCCGCATCGCTCGCAAAGGTAACTTAACACAGCGTTTACCACCTAAATATCAAGTAATCTGCCAGATTGTACAATACAATGCAAAACGAGTATTTTATTGTCCCCTTGGGAGAATTTGTTAGGAACATGTTGTTCCAACAGCTGTTTTAACAAAAGTATTGAAGCATTACACAACAACACAATGACAGACAAATAAAGCTATTACCAAATTTTCCAGCGTATAAGTTGCATCCATCAAAAAAAGCATCATGAAGAGGAAGAAAACATATATAAGTTGCTTCAGCGTATAAGTCACATTTATTATGTATTTCTTTAATGGTCAAAACCGCTTCATTTTGCCTGGGCGGCATGGTACCATCCATCCATCCATCCATCCATCCATCGTGGCCGGAGCCGCTAGCTCTCCAGCATTCCTCTGCCTGCAGCAGCTGAGTGAAGCGAGCGCGCATGGGAGAACTCGTTGCAATTCTTCGAAATTTAACAAGATTAACACTTAAAAACAATTATGTGTTTGCTCAACATTATAGCAAAGGTGTGTCTCAGTTTAATTTTTCCTTAATAAATGCACTTTAATGGTCAAAACGGCTTAATTTCACCTGGGCGAAAGTATATATGTTGCAGGACTGACAAATCTATGCAAAAAAAAAAAAAAACCCTGCTACTTACACGCCGGAAAACACAGTACATAATTGCCAGCTTTTCATGGCGACGAGCAGTAATAACCACAGTGGTGAGGTTTACTTTACTGTCCACCACAGCACTAATTACCTTTTTTTCTCGACCACAAAGACATTTTTTTCTCTGCTGGTCCTTGTTGTTTAGCGGTGGCCCTTAGAGAAAAGGGCAACAAGCTGCAAGGGATTGGAGGTCAAGCTTTCATCCTGCTTGTTTGGGGGCAGACGCTGGGATAGTCTGTATCAAGGCAGGCTCTTTGTTCTCATCAGCGGCCCACCAGATAGCTTCATCTGAGAGCTTTGACCTCAGCGGCAGCCAAAAGGGTTCTCCAGATCAAAACATCCAGATGGAGCTACCTTGACCTATCAGAGAAAACACTGCCTCCCCTCTGCTCCCCCTTCATTGTCTTCTGTTTTTCGATTCAAAGGAACATGAAAAGGGCACAGAAATTGACTCAAAGTCCTGAGTCCCTCTGCCACATCCCACTGTCAGAACCTGGTGAATAGAAGTCACTTACTAATAGTTATCACTGCACTGCAAAAGTAAGTGGAGCCCTTTAAGTAAATTGATTTAGAGGGGTCCCTCTTTCTGTCTCTTTTTTTTCCTGACTGCCTCTTTTTACAAGTGACTAACGAGAGACGAGGCTCTCTCCTGAAGCAGAAAGCCAAAAGGCAATACTCAGCTCTCACTCCATCTGCCTCAGAGATTCCAGTCAGGCTTTGATTAATTATGCCTTTTTTTTTTTTTACAGCACTGAACTTGTACGCTTTGTTAGGTTGTTGTCTTCAACACAAATCGCAAAGGAAGAATAAAATCCTCGTGCAGCAAAAGAGCTAGAACATAATAAAATGAAATTGGAGGGAATAAAAAAAAAAATGATTAGACAAGCAAATGAAAGGCTGTGTTAAAAAGTACAAAGTTTAACTTGAGAAGTTACAATTTTCTAAACAATGCGGTGTGACTGCCGAGTGCTGAAGCTGGTAAAGCTAAAAGCGCTTAAAAAAAACAAAAGACTTGAAGTAGAAAAGCTAGAAGTAGCAGAACAATAGCTAAAAGCTAAAGGCCCATGGTACACATAGTGGTGCATTTTGCGTAATGCTTCAAAACACATTTCTGTGTATGTGGTGCATGGCTGCCCAGCCGAACTGTACCAAGCTGAAGGACACACAGTGGACAGATTGCCGCCCCGTGTGCCACTCTGCACCGAAGTCAAAATTATTTTAACTCAGGCGCAGCATCTCTGTCGGCACCTTGGGAGCACCCACTCAAATTTAGAGTGAGTTTGCCACTGTGCACGATCATTTTGGTTGTTGTTTTTGTGATTCTTCTTGAGACTGTCCCTCATATTATGAAAATAGTCAATATCTAACTGTGGAAAGACTGTTATTGACAAGATTTTAAAGAACAAGAGTTCTAAACCCTTATTGCTCCTCACTTCTCTCGTCCTTATTATCAGGAAATGTGACACCAGGGCTTTTTGTTGACGACCTGATGAACAAACATGCAACTACTGCAGCTGGAAAAAACACTGGAAAACAATATTGTAAATGTGGATTAAGTATTCACACCATTAGCATCACATCACCATTTCGTGCAGGATGGTGTAATCATCAAATGCAAAGCAGATTTTTTAAGCTGTTTCTGATTTAAAAGTGCAGCAGGTTATAGTCTTTTTATTTGTTTGTTTGTTTGTTTGTTTTTTGCAATCTTTATGATCCCCCTCTGCATCATCAGGTCCTGAGTTGTTGTTATCAAGCAGCCCATCACAAGTAAAGTGGAGGCAAATGATTCTGGCTTGGATAACAAATCTGGAGATTACATTCCAACTTCCAGGTGACAGTTTAATTAAGGATCCTCTGGCAGCCGCAACACAACAATAGACTCCCATTTCGCCTCTTAAGTGCCAATTTCCACCATGGGGGCAGCCGGCAGGTGCTTGGATTCATGCAGGAAATCTATTTCGTCCCCGTGTTTTGGCTTAATAGAAATTTCCAGGCTAAATGTGGCAAAACGGGTCTTATCTGTCCAAAACATGACAAAAACTGAAATGGTTTCTCAGTTCCTCATCTGCATTTCTAGCCAATATGAATTACCTTTATCAAGGCAATTTGGAATGAAGTGACAGGAGAAAAAGTATCAGTGAGAGCCGAGTTTGTGACTGTGGCAGAAATCCTTACAGTAAGTCACCAAAATACAAATGCATTTCTAGCTGACAGTGTGTCCTTGTGCACGGATAAGAACCACAATTTGCTGGCTCCCAAAATCCTTTTACCACAAACACTGCACACAGAAAATAAAAATACTTGTCAGCTGCTTTTGTCTATAAATGGGACAGAGAAATCTCTGGAAAACACAAGACAAAAGCCACTCTAATGTCAGGCCAGTGCCTCGTTTCTCTCCACTGTAAATGCCAGACGCTCATCACTTATTAAAAAAAAAATCTTCAGAATAATGAAATGATATTGTACCACTTTCATCTTTACTTGGGATGAGGGTTCAAAAGCAGTGCCCATGGCTGTGGAGAGTGGGGGCTAAAACATGGCTGTATTTTCATTTTCCGTGCCCTAGATCTGATTTTTTTCACCCCCCTTAGCAGACTGCTAGATATGCTCTCTCCCCAGGCGTGCTCTGACTTTCTGCTGCTCTCCTGATTGTTTGTGCCGTTCCAATGGGATCATAGGGTCTGGTTTCAGGGCTGTCAAAGCCTGGAGGACAGACTGATGGGAGGAGAAAAGGGAAAAAAATCTAGATCAGTGGTACCCCTATAACAAGACAAAGGCGGACAAACTGCTCAGCACCATTTAAATAAGTGTAAAGTTTTATTCCAGCGAACTGAATAACCTGCTATTATGATAATGACCTTTCTCGTGGCTAACAGACACCAGGGCACCTTGAGAGTATACAGTAGAGCTGAGTGGGTTATTCTGACTGCAGAACAATTTTTTCAAAAGATTTCATGTATGTGTCACAACATAAAGATGTACATTTGCATTTATCACTGCTCAACAATGTTCAGTCAGGTCATCTGGACAGTTCCTTTTTTTGTTGAGAGAGGTTTTGCCCTCCATCCGAAGGACTTCATCAATCTGAGAAGTCACATACAAACTGTTTTCCCCACCAAGCAGTACACTCCGACAGTGGACCAACCAGTTTGCTGGTAATAAGTTGGTTTCTGGGGGCTGTCCTGTCCTCCGTTGACTCCTCCCAGACAGCCACAGTTGTTGTTGGTTGCCAACAACAGTTGGTGGTTGTTCAACACTGGTTGGACCACTTGGACTGTGGTTTCCTGGGAGGAGTCGACGGGGGAGAGGACAGCCCCCAGAAACCATCTTATCACCAGCAAACTGGTTGGTCCACTGTAGGAGTGTACTGGTTGGTGGAGAAAACAGTTCGTATGTGACTTCTCAAATTGATGAAGCCCTTTGGATGGAGGGCGAAACGTCTCTCAACACAAAAAGAACTGTCCAAATGGCCTGACTGAACTGTTGGATTTCTTTACCTGGATTATTGCGCATGAACTTTGATTTATCACTGCCATTTATTGACTGTACAAGCATGGCACAAAGTTTTATCATCAATACAATAATAATAATAATTCATTTAATTTGTAACGCACTTTTCATTAACAAAAATCTCAAAGGGCTACAAAGTGCAACTAAAATCAATGATAAAATCAACTAAAATCAGTGATAAAAATCAACTAAAATCAATGATGAAATCAACTAAAATCAGTGATAAAAATCAACTAAAATCAATGATGAAATCAACTAAAATCAGTGATAAAATCAACTAAAATCAATGATGAAATCAACTAAAATCAGTGATAAAATCAACTAAAATCAGTGGTAAAATCAACTAAAATCAGTGATAAAATCAACTAAAATCAGTGATAAAATCAACTCAAATCAATGATAATGTCAACTAAAATCAGTGATAAAAATCAACTAAAATCTGTGATAAAATTGACTAAAATCAGTGATAAAATCAACTAAAATCAGTGATAAAAATCAACTAAAATCAGTGGTAAAATAAACTAAAATCAGTGATAAAATCAACTAAAATCGGTGGTAAAATCAACTAAAATCAGTGATAAAATCAACTAAAATCAATGATAAAATCAACTAAAATAAGTAATAAAAATCAAATAAAATCGGTGATTAAATCAACTAAAATAAGTGATAAAATCAACTAAAATCAATGATAAAATCAACTAAAATAAGTGATAAAAATCAAATAAAATTGGTGATTAAATCAACTAAAATCAGTGATAAAATCAACTAAAATCAGTGATAAAATCATGTGGAGGCAGAATAGGCTTGCTTAAAAAGAAAAGTCTTTAAGCCTTTTTTAAAGTCAACCAATGATTGTGGAGCTCTCAGATATTCAGGAAGGGAGTTCCAGAGATGGGGGGCAGCCACACAGAATGCCTGATCTCCCATGGTCCTTAATTTAGTTCTTGGAAAGAGAAAGAGATTACTGTTCTGCGATCATAGGGACCAGGTGGATGAATATGGAGCAAGAAGGTCCTTCAGATAATCTGGTGAATTTCCGTATAAACACTGATGGTAATGAGAGCAATTTTGTACTGAATTCTGTAGGTGACAGGAAGCCAATGGAGGTTATGGAGAATGGGTGTAATATGTTCAAATTTACGAGCTCTCAATAAAATCCTGGCTGCACTGTTTTGAATATATTGAAGCTTCTGAAGGTTTTTGCCGGGTATTCCAGTAAACAGGGAGTTGCAGTAGTCGAGCCTGGAGGAGACAAAAGCATGTACGAATTTCTCTGCGTCAGCAAAAGTGAGAAATGGATGAAGTTTGGAGATATTTTGGAGATGGAAGAAACCGGTTTAAAACAGATGCTTAATGTGATTTTCAAATGTAACTTGAGAGTTCATTCTTACTCCAAGATTTGTAACAGAGGTGGAGAGGGGGATGTCTTGTCCAGAAAAGGAAATAGTTGTTATAGTTGATGTTTGAACCTGGTGAGGGGTGCCAATCAGTATGGCCTCAGTTTTGGAGCAGTTTAACTGAAGAAAGTACAAATACAAATGCTGGGTTTGTGTGACTTCAGTGTGTTTTGTTTTACATCTTTCATTATTAAATTTTTTTTTTAAAGTTAAACACAACTTTTTGCAATGTCAATTTACAGTATTGACCCTTTCTTGTTGGTAACCTCTGCAGTTTGTTCCAGCATGTTGGATATGAACTTCTGGGTCAAAGCTTCACTGATTGTGACCCATTGTTGTCTTATTGGTGCTCAGGGTTGATCATAGTTTGTTGGCTCCTGTTTATCTACCTGCTTTTATAGGACTGAACATCGGGGGTTCAGATGTGGCCCCTGTCTAAAATTCCAATGCTCTAATTTTTGAGGCACTTTGTTATCTATATGTTGCTTTGGGCCACGGTGCTCAGTCATGCTGGAAAATGTGGCTCACTATCAACTGGTGCTTGGATTTGTGGGACAATCTTCTCTCGGAAGACAAGTTGATGCAACTTTTTATTCATACCAGGGTTCTTGGAGAGCATATTCCATCACAAGAATCATGGTTGCCCATCGTTATTTCTTCTTTGGACAAAAGATTTTCGAGCTGCAGCTGCATTATTTGCAAAATAACAGTTGTGTTATGACCCAAATGGTAATTTATATCGTCAGTGGATTTCTTTTGTGGTGTTTTATAAAAATCAATATTTTTAATATAAAACGTTTCTTCAGAGCAGTGGATTGGAATGTTCAATCAATGTTCTTTTCTGTGCTAGCTGCCTGCAAAGATCACCGCAAAGCTCTGGAGGTGTCTCAACGCTCTGACGAAATGGGCCTGATTCTCGGGGTGTGCGCTGGAGGACTGGTGGTCCTGATCCTCCTGCTGGGTGCTGTCATCATCATCATTAAGAAAGGGTAAACAGCTCCTGGGGACTACTTTGTAAAAAAAAAACAAAAAAAAAACATGCCTCATTATGCACAATCACACCACATTTTCTTTGTTTCATTCTAAACAGTTCAGTGAACACTTTTTTATTTTAAATAATTCTGCTCAACATCAAAACGATCATGCATTCTAAGGTACAGATCAGCTACCAGTCAGACATGCATTGTTTTTTTATTTGTTTGTTTTCTGTGTTGTACCAGAGGGCTCAAACAACTCCCATCTGCAGAGCGTTTCTGTGTGTGAAGTATTTAATTAAAAGCGGATGCGATTCAATTAGCCACTTAATTACGCACACCCAGCAGAGACCTGACCCTTAAATGAGATGGCAATTGGGAGGTAAAAGGTGTGCTTTTAGAGATTATTAGCCAATAATCCCACAGGTCTACAGTAATTCACTTACACCTCTGGCTCTTCTGTTGAGATTGTCTTAATTCCTCACACATTTTAAATAAAATACACTTAAAAATTTAGCCTTCCTTAAAGGAGTCATACTGCATTCAATGTCCGAGCTTTGAACTAAAATTGTCTTTGGTGAAGGAGGAAGTAGTTTTGGTCAAACCTTCGCAGGATGATGCACAGTCATAATGTGAGATTTTAGAGATGAGATGGCGCTAAGTAAATGTATTGAGGGCGACAAAATTTAGCTCAATATCCATAAATTTGGCTGAAATAGAGTTAGTTTTGTGTTTAGTGTTTACACTTCCACAGACGGTTATGTTGATCATTAAGCTAAAACTAGTCTGCACGTTGATCTCGGTTTCTCTCCTGGGCAAGTGTAAGTTTTTGTCTTGGGACAATTGATCAGATTTACTGTGACTGAGCCAAATCGTCTGCTTCTCGAGGTTTAGCTCGACACATTCGATTGGTAGTTTGTCCTCCTCTCGGTGTGTGTTTGATCCGTCAGCAGCTGCATGTGTCATACGGCCACCGGCACAGCTGGACGTCTGAGAGGACAGCTCTCATTTTCACTGTAATCAATGCATTCTGCCCTCAGCTGACATTGCTTTCATCTCACAGATCTTCTTTCTCTTAATTTTTTTTTTCTTTCCTCCCTCTCGTGAACTCTTGCCAGGAGGGACTACTCCTCTTATTATCCGTAAGTGACTCCATCTTTTGGCTTTTGCATCTCTTCTGCGATCCATCATAAACATGCTTGTGCTCTGGCTGTCAGTCACTCGTTGAAGAGGAAAACTAAACAGTGCTTCCCTCTTCACAATCAACCTCTAATTTATCACCTTTCTTTTCTCCCTCTTTTACCTTCATATTGTTGCTGTCAAAAAAGTTGCCCTTTTTCTCTGTCTCTTAACTTGCTCATGTATTGTATCTCAAATTTAACTTTTGTGTCTGTCTTCTTCTTTCTCCACACCCAGGAAAGCAGTGAACATGAATAAGACTCCCATTACCTACCGGCAGGAGAAGAGCCATATGGGCTCGTTGGAGCGCAGTTTCACAGACCAGAGCACCTTACAGGAGGATGAAAGAATGGCTCTTTCATTTATGGATGCGCACACGTGCGGCACACGAAGTAATGCAGTCACACACACATGAACTTCAGATCACAACCTTTCATAGCAACGCACTGTGGTTTCTTACTTATAAGTGTATTCTTACAGATAAGGTGTAAACTTTGTTTTAAACAAAAATGCATTTGTGCAAAAGTTTGTCTGCTGTTTATGAACAGCAGCGGTGACAATTCTTTAAATTATTGCAAAAATAAAAGGATTTCATGATAAAAATTTATCCTGAAAAATCTAAACAAATATTTTGTGATATTGATAGTGCTTTTTTTTCTTTTTCTTTTTGTTGTCACAAATAAGGAAAAAACAGATTGTTTACTTAAGAGGTTTTCTAAATAAAGTTACAGTAGTCCCTCATTTATCACAGGAGTTACACTCCAGACATCCCCGCAGTAAGTGAAAAAACGCTAAGTAGGGACTTTATATTCATTTTAGTATTTATATATATATATATATTAAGGCTTTGTAAACCCTTCCCACACTCTTGCAATGTTCTAAACCCTTAAACCTACATCATTTTAACAACATACATATATGTACTGCACAGTAGCTACTTAAAAATTTTATATGGGGACTCACTAGCCTTGGTCTGGTTCTGATTGGCTCTCTGCAGCCGTTGAGCACCAGACGCTTTTAGAGAGAGCCGGACCTTCAGAGAGCCAGCACAAAACCACACAATGGTCCCGATCAAGTCCATATAATACAGAGGAATCAGATGAAAAAGTCCGGGTGAGCCCCTGATCATGGGTCAGCAAGCAGCACTCAGATCGACCGATGAGACTGGAAGTAGTTCTGGTCTGGTTCTGATCGGCTCTCTGCGTCCACTGAGCGCCAAAGTCACTATGAATATGGACCGAACTTTTTAGTCAGGTTCAGATCGGATCAAAACTTTCACTCCATTTTGGCAGAAAGCAGTGGGCTGGAAGCAGTGTTGGCTTCTGGGTAGTGTAGTTCTTTGACTGGTGGTACAATGTAGGCTTATTGAAAAAAAACTACAAAATGGCAACGCCCGTCTGAATTATTATTATTTTTGTTAACTTTTTATGCCGTACCATCCCAATCACATGAGTACTGTAATATAAGTTATATATATAAAAATATAAATTGAAAGTTGAAACACGAGGGACTACTGTATGTGAGATGAAGCTGCTGAGTTATCAAAAATAATGTCTAATCGTTTGGAAATGTTTTCTGCGACATAAATTTGTCTTGGATTTGTTATTATGGGCATCTAAAGCTACCATCACAAGTAAAACGATCAGTTGTCCTGTGTTAAGATCCAATTGTTACAAGAGTTGTTTTATTTTTTTTTTTATCTCACCCTGTCTGGTTTATAAATTCTTAAGTTCCAGATTGTCATCAGCGCTCAAAATGTTTGTATTTGTGGTTCAGGTGATGCTCGAAGTTCAGTGAACGAGGCAAGCAGTTTGCTGGGAGGCTCCCCGAGGCATCAGTGTGGTGGCCGTAAAGGCTCCCCTTACCACACAGGTCAGCTCCACCCTGCCGTCCGAGTGGCTGACCTCCTTCAACACATCAACCAGATGAAGACTGCCGAGGGCTATGGCTTTAAACAAGAATATGAGGTGAAAGGGTACCGTTCCAGCCTGTTCTTACACTCTTACATTATAAACAACATGGACAGCTTTGTAGTGGCTCAGAAGGCAGAGCAAGTCCCCCACTCTCCACAAGGTTAAAGGTTAATCTTCAACCTGCATGTTAAAATATCCTTAAGATAGAAAGTCAGCCTCAGGTAGTCTCCAGAGTGTGTGTTTGTGTGGGATGGAAAGACTGCTGCATGTAAACTCAAGCTGTGACAAAATAAAAAGAACAGCAAACACGTACTCCTGTCGATGCACTTCTTAGGAGGGGAAAATTAGAACACCGTTTTGGAAAACTAGATTATTTAGAAGAAAGCGATTCTATAAAATGTTTGTCCCAGCATAATTGTTCTGTTAAATAAGCAGCCTCCAGAGTGAATTGAAGTGTAAATAAAACAAAACCGTAGGCGAGGGAATGAGTAAATCGGTCTACATCGAATAAAGAGAGAAAGTGTGAACATAAACCAAATTTTATTTGTTTTAATATGACTCACAAAAATTTTCTCTGTTAAATTTTTATTACTTTATTTACTTATTTTGGGGTTTAATCTGTTGGGATTCAAAAAAACTCAAAGGAATCATGTACCTCCTTCATATAAAGATGGAGGTGTGAAGCTGGGTTTATCCTTTGAAATATGTTCTTTCTGACATTGCTGCAAGACCAAAATTACATTTTGTTCTCCTAAGAGCTGCGTGACCCCATTCTTGACCCAATGCCTGTTCAGAACTTTTTTCTCCCTGCGGTTTTCTTCAACTATTGTGTGATGCCAGAAATGTGAAGTAGAAGTGGTTAACGTGGCCACGTGTTCTGTGAGCTGCTCTGGAACCACTGAGGCCACTGCCACCCTGGGAGTATTAGCTCCTGGAGCTAACATTAGCTTCTCCTTCTAATATTCACTCTGGAACCGCTCAACTCTCCTGGACAAATGCCGGCATGTTGTGTGTGCATGCTGCTGATGACTGAACAGCCATCAAAATGACATCCAACATCCTGAAATAAGATGTTTTCCCTGTCCTCAATCAACTGAAAAAATTCCATGTCTGTCATTATAGTGTTGTAACAACACATTTCCATGCCATGTGGTCACTGTGTTTCTGTCAGTGTCAGAACATCACTGGGATAAAACTGCTGGTGACCAGTTGGCCAAAAGCTTTTTACCATTGCAATTTGTGTTTCAATATTAGCAGAGGTTCTAATGTCCTTACTTGAGTCACAGCTGGGTGCAGTCCTGTCATTTAAACTTTAAGCATGCTCTAGTGTTTTCAAGGTTCAAGGTTGTTTATTGTCATTCACATCACATGTGGTGCATGAGGTAGAACCAAACTGTGTACTCAGTTAGGTTTAAACAAAAGAACATGGACACACAGAGTGAGATTTTCTTTGCAAAGGGAAGAGCACAAACTCTCTTCCCTTTGCAAAGAAAATCTCACTCTTTGTGTCCATGTTCCTTTACCTAAAACTCAAGGTACCAGTTACACCCAAAAATAGCAAAAATATAGTATAAAAAAGAAACAATATACAAGGGTCTAAGATATAAGCTAAAAAATAATAATGTAATACAATACAGTGTATTAAACAGCAGCCTGAACATGAATATGTTGGGAGCAGATGGGTATGAATACAGCAGCTTAAAGGTAAGGAATCAGTAGCATGGCTAATCAGCAGCACAGATAAGTCACATATCACCAATTGAAGTTGCATTACATTGATTTTCCTGATAAGAGATTATTGAGTCTAACAGCTTCAGGGTAGAAGCTGTTCCTCAGTCTAGTGGTTCTGCACTTAATGCTCCTTAACCTCCTTTCTGAGGTGATCGGGGCAAAAAGTGTGTGTGCTGGGTGAGTGGGGTCCTTCATGATGCAAGTGGCCCTCTTCCTGCATCTCGAGGTGTAAATGTCTGTGATAGTGGGGAAGCTGACTCCAACGGTCTTCTGTCTCTGCAAAGCTTTTCTTTCTGCAGTTGTGCAGCCTCCATGCCACACATTGATGCTGGAGCACAGGATGCTCTCCACTGCACACCTGTAGGAGGTGAGGACTGAGCTCCCCAGACCAGCTCGTCTCAGCGTCAGTAGAGTAGAGTCTCTGATGCGCTTTCTTGATCAGGCTGGTAGTGTTGTTGCCCCAGCTGAGGTGTAACTCAGATGCACACACAAGTACTGGTAACTGGAGACCACTTCCACCGCAGATCCTCCTATGTTTGGGGTGGTGGTGTTTGTGCCGTCTGAAATCCATGACCCTCTCCTTCATCTTCTTCACATTGATGTGAAGGTTGTTCTTCCTGCACCAGCTCTCCAGGTGTTCCTGCAGCCTGATTCATCATAGTTCATGATGCATCCAACCACCGCTGTGTCATCTGCAAACTTTACAATATGACAGCCTGGCTGGGTAGGTGTGCAGTCATATGTGAACAGAGTGAACAGGAGGGGGCTCAACACACTGCCCTGAGGGGAGCCAGTGCTGAGGGTTATGGTGGAGGAAGAGAAGTTGTAAATCCTCACTGACTGCGGTCTGTTGATTAAGAAATCCAGGATCCAGTTGCAAATGGAGGGGCTTAGTCCTAGTGTGAGTAGTTGTCCATCAGGGTCTGGGGAATCATGGTGATGATTGAAGGCAGGCGTGAAGTCTATAAAGAGCATACGGACATAGGAGTCCTCCTGCTCCAGGTGGGTGAGAGCAGAGTGGACCACAGAGGAGATGGATTCCTCTGTTGATCGATTCTTGCAGTATGCATACTGGTGAGGGTCCTCGTTGCTGCCGATGGTAGCTTTGATGTGGGCCATGACCAGTTTACCACTAGAATACATTTTAAAAAAGCAAAAGTTAGCTATAAGGAACACTTTAAAATGTTTAATGATGCTATAGTTCTTCATCTGATCAGACTTGTGTTGACTCATCTAACTGGTCAGAATGAAACTAAATTGTCAAACCAAATTTGTTCAAAAAGCAATATATAACAGGGAAGCTAATATTTATTAACAAACTTTCCAAAGAACCCCACTTCAAACTATCTGAACTATCCCTTTAGCAATTGCTGCTTGGGAATATTTAGTCCTCCCCCTTTTATAGAGTTATGTTACTCCAATAATTTACATATATTCTGATGTTTTGTATGCAACCTTTGTACAGTTCGTTCCAGACTGCTGGGTATAACTGTGATGAAGTCGGTCATATGCTGGCAAAATATACTTTCAGCCACACAATTTAAAGCAGCTTAATTTAGTTTAAGTCATAAAAAAAAGGCTTCTCTGGGGCGGTTTCTGGTGGCTTCCTGATAGCAGAAAAGTATCACCTCTTGGGCACATTCAATTCTATCCTGGGGACTTTCCTGACAGAAATGTTTGACCTTAATTGGCAACATTGTTAGTGCTAAAAGTAAATAGAAGGGTCTGAGCTTGTTTACTTGGTAAAGGAAGGTACACTATTGAGAGGTGGAAAAACTGAGGTCAGTTGTTAATTCATAAGGAACAATGCTTCTAAACAGGATCAGTGTTAACTCCATAAGAAAAAAAAAAGCCTAGATTTAGATGGATGTCAATATTATTTACATAAGTTTGTCACATCCAAATGATATCTAGACTATAAAGACACTTTTTTCTTTATCTTTTTGTAGTAGTAAGAGAAAATATACACTGTTATCCCCAAAATAATGAAGCATTGCTCATTAAAAGAGATGATATTAACAAAACTCGATTCTATATAGGGTTGTGGATATCTATGCACTCTTTTCACCAACCAGTGAAATTAATAACCAAGACCATAAAGACATTTAAATGACACTGCTGCCATTCAGATGAATAGATCATCCCCATTTGAGCCTAGAGGAGACCTTTGTTGTGACGGGGAGCTTGATGAGGTTAAACGCCTCCACCTCTGTCTGCCTTTAATAGATTGTAGCAACAAGATGAAGGGACAGTCTGGGAAGGTTGGAGAATGATGAAAAGGTACAGAAAGAAAAGTGTGGAGAAAATAAAGCTCTGGGCTGACTTTCTCTAAATCCGTTAAAAATACTCTCTTCTTCTCAGTAGTGATTTTAGTCTTTAACTCTCTTTGTAATGTGTAGTGCAATGTATGTGCACTAGAACCATCAACAAAATTTAGAATGTTTTGTCTGGTTGGGTTATGCACATTGGTGCAAAGGGTCATGTTGTCCCCAAGTGTCTTTGAGCACATTTGATTTCCCAAACTGGAGATAAAAATGTAAAACACATGGTAACATAGGAATACTATTATGACAGATTACTTCTCATATGTTTAAACTGTAAGATGATGAAATGAGAAAGTCTGATGAATCCAACTGGAAGGGATACTATAAGGATTCACACAGTCAGGGGTCAAATTTGGAGACAGTCAGAAACTGTAGAAAAGGTGTGAGGTATCTGTGGGTGAGGTAATGCTGGACAGTCTCGCTGAATATCTTTAAATTATGAATAAAATTTCATTGAGTTTAGTGTGAACTGAGTTTTTTGGAAACTACACACATATTTTCACATCTGGTCTAAGAACTAATGTCAGAAAGCTCTGGTATGCATAGACAAAGACAAAGATAGGCTCAGTAAGAACAAGCACTACACCAATTATTGCATTTACCCCCAACCCCAACTCTCACTCTATGGTACCACTTCTGCAAAGTGTTGTCTGTTTATCCAAAACCACTCTTAGCTACATTCTTGCCCAGAATGATCTAAAAGTACTGTGCTTCTTATGTTGGGCCAAGTCAGCTCTTTGGGAGACATGAAAGCAATCGGACTTTGAACACACATTAGATAAACTCATCCTGCTATTTTTGTTTTTCCCTCTAAGACATGTAAACAGGGGAAAAACTCATTGCAGAATCTATTGAACCACTTGTAAAATTTAAACTGCATAAGCCAAATAAGATATTGATTAATTATAATACCCTGGTCATTGTTGTCTCGAACTCCACTTTCACTGTCCAGTTCAACCAATTTGGTTTACCCTCCCTTTTTTTTTCCACCTTCTGAGTTTCTTTGTTGATGGGACCATAAGTGCAGACAGATTTCCTTTATTCTGCCCGTGTTATAGCTGTATAATCTGTGCAACACAATGAATGGTCCCAGATCTCTGAATACCTCTCCCAGGTGAAACTATTGCAGCTGCGAGCTGAGTGCACACCCCAGGGACAAGCCCGTCTCTGTCACCCCCCAGCATTCAGCACTCATGAAAAAAAAAAACATCTTTTGTCTCTGGTACAAGGTCTTCTCTTAAACTCTGCTTGTAGACTCATTAAATGGTCCCTTTTGGCCGAAACACACTCGACTCTAAAATCAATACACACCTCTTTGTTTGAGTATTTTCTCTCCCTCTCTGTACTAAGAGTGTGTGTTTTGATGGATTGTCTCTCGCTATTATAAAGGAAAATGATGAGGTCTGTTATATTACACCCCCCCCCCCCCCCAACAGGCATAAGTTTTTATTTCCCGGAGGACTACCTTTTTCTGTAAAAACATTGATCAAGAATTTATTGTGGGCTGTAAAGAGGACTGTATGTGTGGCAGCTGCTGTTATATTCCCACTGCTGAAACTTACGAGTGAATGACAACATTTTCACCGGAAAACTGCCGTTACATCACTCCAAGAGAGTTTGGAAGAACGATGGACTCTCATTCACAGTTGCTTTGCTGCAGAGTTACTGAGTCTATTTAAACTAAAACCAACGTCTGATGCAACATTTGTAGTCGCCACTATCAGAATGATTTATTCCACTTTTTCTTTTGGAATATTCTGCTTGATTTTTCAGGAGTGAAAGTCATTAAGGACAGAAAGTACATTCCAAAGCTGTGAGTGATGCCATAGATGTTAGTTGGACATTAGGATGGTAAATAACAGTCACTAATTTGACTCACTTTGTGTGATCAAATCAACCCGCCTCACTGATTTTCTGCAATCAAAGCATTTAATGACTTGTTCCCCGGTCTCTTCCTTTCAATGACCTGTCATTCTCTTTTCTGTTTCTGTCCCTGCCCCCCCCCCCCCCCCGCTCCCACCACACACACACACACACACACACACACACACTTCTCCTCTGTCGTGAGAACTGAGCACAGGAGAGATGGGAAAGACAAAAAACAGCTCAGACATCTTGTTTTAAAAATGGATGGAAGGGAATAATAATAAGAGGGAAGAGGTGGACAGGGAAGGATGCAACGCAAAGCCTTAAAGAGGAGGAGAGAATGAAAATTAGGAATTCAGAAAAAAAAAGGACCGTAGAACGATGGCATGAAAGAGGAGAAAAAAATGAGGGGGAGGATGTAATCCCAGGCAGGATTTGACTGCTTCTTGGCTGTCTGAGGAGGGAACTGTTTTGTAATTCTGTTCTCCTCCTTCAAACTTGGGAGAATTTTTACTAAATTCATCCACAGGTCCAAAACCTCAAAAGGTTGACTCATATGGATGTAAATGTGTTTTTTATCATCAGTTTTCAACTGGCTGATTACTGGTTTGATTTAATCTAGAGCCACTTTTGGACAAATCTTTTCCCCCATTTTCATTTTGTTTTATTGGAACGCCTACCTACTGAGCAGAGAGACAATGTTAATGTTAAAGTCTACATGTAGCTATTTTAACATGAAACTGAAAACCAATTTGTTTTATCTGCTCAAACCACCAGAAATACCAGAGGCATAGATTGATTCATGGTCTGAACAACTTTTATTTCCACACTATTTATTCACTGATATAACATATTCGTAAAAATGTTATCACTTTGTTCAGTTCAGAGCTTTAAAAAAAAAGGAGATAATAGTGGTTTATATGAACTTACTGTATTAGCCGATGATAACAAGAAAAATGTGTTTAATTTAGAACAATAGTTCAGATTGTATGAAGTGGTATTCTGAGGAAAGATTATGAAAAGTTAATATCTTAACTGTTGTAGATGTAGCTCTTCAAACAATCTCAGTTTGAGGAAATAGTTTAATTTTTACCAGACTGACAAGCTAATGGTTAGCCTGAGTGGGACTAAGACCAGAGCTGATTGCTTCTATCTTGAAACAACTCTAGCTCAAATCACTTCCACTTTCAAAGATCTGAACTATCCCTTTAATGTGTCATTGAACACAACCACCACTGCTAACAAGACACCACTAGAACTTTATAAAATATGAGGTTGAATTTGTGTTTGAAAAGACAAAAAAACTCCCCAAAACAGTTTAGTATGAATGTTTTAGTTGGCATAGTTTAGCTCATTTAAAGGCGAGTAGCGATTGTAATACAGCTATTTCAGGTTTTTTTCAGTTGCTTGGGCATCATTTATACATCCTTGCCATTATTAACTAATTGTAGGTGTGTGTTAAACATTTAAAATAGTTTTTTTTAGAGCACTACTATACTTTCAATTTTAAAATGTATTTTAACTTAAGTCTGTAAGTTTGTGGATATTTCAGATGTTTACAGGTGCATTTACACCAGCCCTGTTTAGTCTGCTTTAATCAAACTCTAGTCCCTTTGCCTAGAAAGTCCGTTCGTTTAGGGAGGTGTGAATGCGCAATCAAATTCTGATACGGACCAAAAATGTGAACTCTGGTCCGCCTAAATACCTAGGTCTCGGTTCAGTTGACTTGAACTCTGGGATGGTTCGAATGCAGTGTGAATGCAAGAGGACCGGAGACGGCTCTAAAAGCAGGAAGTGGACTACAGCGCAGGGCATTACAACCAAAACAAACGTGCATTTCTCTTACCTCATACGAAGCTGTCAGCTGCCTTGTGTGAAAAACAACATTCTCCATGGTCTTCTGCCTCATCTTCCACTCATGCTGAGTCCATTGTTGAAAAATGACAAAACAGAAATCCTAAAAACACTACAATTTGATGCCACTCCGTTTTTGTTTTTATTTCAAGAAGAAGTGTCTTCTTCAGTGGTTTTCATGTTGTTTCCTTCAGTAGTTCTTGGTGCAGCGCCACCACAGGCGAGGGGGGGACATTGGCTCAAATGACTCGGTGCAGTGTGAATGCAAACTAAACCAGCTGAAATGTAAACAAATGTTCTGAATTTTGGTCTCCAAACGAACTGAGTCTACCAAACTATCATGTGTGAAAACACCCTAAATGTCCTTTCAAACCCCACCAAAAATACTATGGAGACCGTTTTTGTCTGCTTTGCTTTGTTCAGCACTTTGTGTTGCGTTTGTGTTTGAAAATAAAGCTGAGTTGAAGCTGAGTTTTAATCAACCTTCTGGGTCAATCAGAATACACTTGGAGCATTTTTATGCAAACTGCTGCATGCGTGGTAAATATGTTCTTTGATTGGAAGCAACACCTGATTTTTTCTGGGGAAAAACAGCAAAAGCAGACAGGATATGCTATGAAAATCAGAGTTTAGAAAAAAAACAAAGACTTTGTTATATTCTATGGTTTTCTTTACATCCTTTTTATGCTTAAAGCACCAAAAGTCTCTACATAATGCAGTAACTCCTGACTTATTCATATAAAACCCACTGATGGCTATTATAAATGTCTCCCATAAAACACAAGTCTCTTTTTTAAGCAAAACAAACATGCTGAAACTGATTTTTTTTTTAAATAATAGATATTAAAACTGTGCTTACACTGACTGTGTTCCTGAAATCTGCAACTGGTGTCACGTTACGTCTCTGCAGAGCTTCTTCGATGGCTGGGACTCCACCAAAAAGAAGGACAAAACCAAAGGGAGGGACACCTTGCTGGGATGTAAGCAATCTTGAACATTTGTATCCCACACTTGATAAACTGTGATAATTATATGGAGGTTTTATCTCTCTCTCTTTAAATTTCTATTTTGTTTCCATTTCTTCCCACCTCAGATGATCGCCACAGAGTGAAGCTCCACCCTCTTCTGGGAGATCCCAACTCAGACTACATTAACGCTAACTACATTGATGTAAGTCTAATCCTGTTTTCCTGCCTCCATTTTATATGAAATGCAAATCTGCCAAGTCTCAAGCTCTCGCAGCCTGCAAAGCCAAAGTCCATCTCTCTCACTCTTTCATTCCTCTCTAAGTCTGCTGCCCCACTTTCACCTGGAAGCTTTCATCCAATCACACACACCTCTCCCCACAAGTGTTCTGCCAGATGCCATCGCTGTTAGGTGCTGCACCGGATCCCTGACCCTGAATACCTCTGCTATCATTTTTATTAAAAAAGGCAGGAATAAATGCGTTTAATGCCTGCAAAGGAGATCAGTCTTTCTGTAAGACGCTGCTGTGCAAATCCGCCTAAATTAAATAGACATCGCTGATGTTATTCAATCTGAACACACCCAGGAGAAGATGATCCTGTCACACGTCCTGCACTACAATAACATCGCTCATACACAACACATGTGCTGTATGTTGGAAATGTGTCTCATTCGTGCATGTTTTCATTCATAAAAGTTCCCAACAAAAGATTTTAATCAAGTTTTCTTAGAAAAAGTTAATAAAACAAATATACAGCTAGAAATGGGTACCTGTAGTTTATTTCTCCCTTCACAGTCTTTTGTTGTTCCTATTTATTTGAGTTTTGTCAAGGGAAGCCTAAAGATCTGATGTGACTTCTTTATCTCGCTAGATCTATTCTGCACACTTCTCATGGGGAATACTGTAAAGTAAATATGAAACTCTGTGAGATGTTGAGACGGGCTGTTGCGCTCCCACTTCTGCCTGCAGTTGATAAGATGTCGGAAGATCCCATCTCTGTCTAAATCAGGGGTGGGCAATTATTTTTTCCATGGGGCCACATGAGAAGCAGCAAATATTGTGGAGGGCCGGCACAAATGACTTTCATTCAACCTTTATTTAGACAGGTAAATCCCATTGAGCCTCAAGGACTCATTTACAAGAGAGACCTGATTTCAACTTAACTCAATACTGCATAATAATAGTATTTCATTATTAAAAGAAGTACATAGCACTGTTTTAACAAGCTGGTAAGAGTATTTGTTATGATTAAGCAACGAAAAAGCGAGGTTTCCTTACAAAAAATGTCATTTATTCAATTAAATTTCCCAGTACAATGGTAAACTGTTAACATTTTTACCATTTGTGACGTTATATTAGTGATCATTTTCAGTCACATTCACCCCAAAACTCATTTTGAGTTTTATATACTGCTGGAAAAAGTTCTTAGCTTTGTAAATATATCACAATATTCTCTTTGTACTCCAAATATTATGAAACATCATATAATAGTGATCGTCACTGAACTGTGATTTCGAGTCCCGGTTCTTTTTTCTTGTTTAGTGAGAGAAGTCTATTCTCTGTTGGGCTTTAACGGAAATGTTAAAGTCAGGTTCAAGGTCTGAGGTGGAGATGTAAAGCAAAGCTGACATCATCATTGAGAGAGGATCTATATCTGGATTTGGTTAACTTCATTTGTTTACATATGTATTTTGTAATTCCCCTTAGGGGGGCCGGTGAGAGTCAACCAAAGGGCCGCATGTGGCCCTGGGGCCGTACAATGCCCAGGTCTGGTCTAAATGATTATAAAGCATCTTATATGAGAAATAGCTGAAATTATTTGTCTCATTTAAATAAAATTGCCTGCAATGTGTTTGATTTGGTTTTCCGTAGATTCCTCCTTTTGGCCAAATTGTGTCATCGAAATGCTTGACACCACAGAGTGTACTTCCTCTCTTTCTTTGTAGAGACCAGCGTGTTTTCAGAGAGGTCAATACAACGAGAGGGCATTAAAGACCTTGCTGCTGTTAGGCTTTAGCTATTGTGAGGGGCTCTATCAGTGTTTAGGGTACAGAGGTGCAGGCATTAGAAGGAAAGCACCACTCAGCAGCGGCTGCAGTGTTGGTGTCAGTGCATTACTCTCTGACGACCCTGACCCGACACAATCAGATATAATCACTCAGCTACAGCAGAACATACTATAGATAACTATATAGTTTTACCAGAGGTTAAATAAGTTTTTTTCCCTATTTTTAAGCAGAGAGAAGACACTCTGTTGCTGATTGCCTAATTACTGTAGTCCTTGATTTATTGTGGGTGTTTGGCTCCAGAACCCCCCGTTATAAGTGAAAATCTGCGAAGTAGCAACGTTCTATTTATTTTAGTATTTATATAAATCTTAAGGCTTTAGAAACCCTTCCCACACTTTTACAATGTTCTAAACTCTTAAACCTACGTCATTTTAACAACTTACGTACAATACTGTATATGTAGCTACTAAATTTTACTTACCATCTCTGCAGAACAGCAGTGGCTCGTTTCCGGTCCTACTCAGTTCATTTCTGCAGACGTGCCCTGCAGCAGCGACGCCCACACTCATTTTCTAAACTCTTAAACCTACTAGTTTTAACAACATACTTATCTGTAGCTACTAAATTTTACTTTTTCCCTGCTCGGTGGTCCACGTGGGCTAGTTGAAAGAGATGAAAAAAGTCCTCATGGGCCGGCTACCAGCTCTCAAGATTCACCGATGGGTCTGGAGGTCTGGTTCTTCTCCGGTTCTGGTTCGGTTCGGTGGGTTCCGTGCGGCTGTCTGTATCTGCTGGGTGCAGAAGTCGCTGTAATAAACGCCAAACTTTTTCCGATCAGATCAAAACTTTCCCTCTACATATTTCAGCAGATGGCAACGGGGCTTCTAGGCAGGACCCTGTTGGCTTCTGGGAAATGTAGTCCTTATGAGTGGGGATACAGTGTAGGCATATAGAGAGAAAACTACAAAATGGCAGCACCTCTCCGAAGTTTTTTTTTTTTGTTAACTTTTACTGTAAAGCTGACAATCGTGTCCTGTACATTAAAAAAAAAGTTAATGTGCGTTAACAACCTGTGATATAGTGAGTCTGCGAAAGTTGAACCACGAAATAGCGAGGGACTACTGTATTCTCTTGTGTTCATGGGTTTCCTTTTCAGAATTTACATGTTGGCTTGTTTTGCACATTAGCTATGTTTACATGGACATAAGTAACCAGATCAAACGGCCGTTCGGAACAAAAACGTGTCATGTAAACACCCTGTTCGGGTTATTTTTTGTTTATTCAGCGTGATCCGAAATAATTTGTGATCAGAACGAAACAGGTGGTTTACGCCGATTCATAACCCGAACGGTGCGCATGTAAACGCTTGATCTGTTCGTTTTTATCTGGTGGTGAAAAACTGACCTGACTGCTCATGTGCAACTTTGCCATTTCCGCCTGGCTAATGCTAATAATATTAGCATGTCGGGGAAGTAAAACTGGTCGGTGAACGACAAAACATTTCTACTAGAAACTTTGAAAGAGCTCAAAATGATCTGTATTACCTGTAGCTCAGTCAGGGAGTGCAGTAACGTCTCCACCGTCATTAAAACCTGTCGCGGGTCCATTTTGGGTGCTCAGGTTTGGTTACGTTCATCCCGGAAGTAAACCAGAAGTAGAACTTCTTCTTCTGTATTTTTTAAAGGAGAGTTTACCACTCTGCGCATGTCGGTACTGCTGTTCAGAACAAATGTAAACAATACATTTGAATTATTTAATCTGAAAACATTTCAATCCGGTCAAAAAATGTTGCGCATGTAAACATAGCTATTGAGAGCAGTCTAGTGTTGTAATTGTCACTGCTTTGTGTTTTGGCTGCATCAGTGTAGTGTTTGTGACAGCAACAGAGTGGACGAACAACTCAAAATGTACACATATAGATGTTGTGGTTCTGATCAGCTGTAGTGAATGTGAAATCCAAAGTCATTCCTCAGCGTTGGATGAGTTCCATCCAAGAACAGACTTTCTTGTAATCACAAAAGTTATTCAGGCATTCTTAGAGACTTTGTCTGCTTTTTCACTCCTATACCTGACACTTTTCAGAGAAACGATTTTCTTTGTTTGCTTGTTAAGCCACTGAACTTGGACGTATAAATTATTCGGTCATAGATAGGGCTCTTAAACTCAAGGGATGCACCACAATTGAGATGACAGACAGCCTAGCCAATAACTTTTAACCACAACCTGAAGACAACTACAACATTACAATTTCAATTAAAAAAAATTCAAAAATACTTTATTAATCCAAAAAGGAAATTATTTGTTGCTGTGACTCGTTATCCTCATTTCATTAAGAGAAGTTATAGATACTGATGGCTGTAGGCAGGAAGGATTTCTTGTAAAGGTCCGTCTCACAGTGGATCCTAAGAAACTGGCTGCAGATGTCGTCCGATCCGTCCACCCAGACTCGGCTGGCCTCTCGATTCCCCCGGGCTATAGGACCACCCGAATGCCAGACAGAACTCCACCCAGAGCGATGGCCACTCCTCCCAGCAGTCTGCCGAGCTCCTCATTGCTGTGGACAGCCAACTGTAGGTGCTGAGGGACGATCCTTTCCTTCTACTGTCATGAGCTGTGTTTCCTGCTAGTTCCAGGATCTCAGTGGTCAGGCACTCGAGCATAGCTGGCAGGTAGATGAGAATGCGTCCACAGAACATCCTTTTCAAATAATTTGAGATTTGGGGCTGTAGTTGAGATATTATTTGAGCTTTTGTGATGTTAATCAGCTGCTGTTGGTTGTAGAAAACTGCCTTGTTGCCATGTTACACATCATAACAAATGTCCAAAACTAAAAAGTTTCAGTAAAAATCTTTCCAGCTGCTCAGCATCTGATACCAAAGGAAACAATCATCCATAGAAAGTGATTCATCAAATTCAAATGATTTAATTCTTCAAAATTCTTTATCTTAAGTACAAAAAATACCAAAACAAGGTCAAACTAATATTTTAGCACCAAGTTAATTTCTAAGAGTCATTATTACCTGGCAACTTGTCAAAAAGTATATGACCATCTTGAAGGGTAATGTATATCTCTGGTCTTTGTGAAATTATTTCATGATGTTCAGATGACATTTAGCCAGATATATTTTAATGCCAAGCAGTTCTTTTGCTCATCACCTATTTTGGTTATTTTATTTTTTGTACCAATTACACAA